TGTTGTTGTGGACCATCAAAGCAGAACAGACCCATATCTGACCCTCCAGCAGGTTTTCAGAGGCAGTAAATCACACGGGAGGAGACTGCCCATTCTTCTCCCTCCAAGCAGCCAGTGGATTCAAACCACGTGCCTTTGGGATTGCAGTGCAGTCTATTACCACGAGGCCATCAGAGCTTCGTATTGTTAGGTGCCATCAAGTTGACTCCAACTCAAACTGCCCTGTCCACGGAAGGAAGGGCCGTCTTCCCCCGTGTCATCCTCAGTCACCTGCCCCGTGTCATCCTCAGTCACCTGCCCCATGCTGTCCTCACAGTCACCTGCCCCATGCCGTCCTCACAGTCACCTGCCCCTGTGCCATCCTCAGTCACCTGCCCCCGTGTCATTCTCAGTCACCTGCACCCGTGCTGTCCTCACAGTCACCTGTCCCCGCATCACCTGCCCCCATGCTGTCTTCCCAGTCTCCGCTGGTTCAAGCCCGTGGCCGCAGGCACTCTGTCAGTTCATGGTGGTGAGGGCGTACCACTGCTTCACCGACCCTCTGCTTTGTGTAGTGAAAACATCACTTTGATAAGTTACCGCGAAACCAAAACTTTGATTTGACTTGTGTTGTTTCGACATTCTCTTTATGGGGGTCTGGAATGGAAGTGGCCTCTGGATTATGCCTGCGGTGCCCCACTGTCCCTACGATTGCCCTTTCAACATCCTCTGAAGGGGTTGATTTTGAGGCAAGACATGGTAAAGTGACCATGTTTTATGAGTCTGAAGAGAGAGTCAGAGCACAGAAATAAAGGCCCAGGGGATGTACACGTTTGCGCGCTGACGGACGGACTTTGTTGGCCCCCAGAACTCAGGAGTCAGCCCAGGAGACCCCAAGGGGCAGGCAAGCCCCCCGGTGAGCCCATCTAGATTCAGCTCTACTTCTGTCTTCTCCTCCAGGAGCACCCCATCATTGCCAGCATTCTTTGGACGAAGCCCACTGAATTCCTGGACAAGAAAGGTATGTGGTGATGCTCTGGGCACCCCCAATTCAGCAGGGAGGAGAGGAAAGACGTTCTCCTAACAGTGTAGGATGCTCACAGCAACACACACATACCCCTGCCCTGGCTCACTGCGTGTGCTGACCTCACTCATCTGTAACTGGTGTTGGCTCAGCTTCCCATTCCACACAACCCTCCTTACACCACTTCCCGACCACCCACGAGCTGCCTCCTTCCGGTGCCCACTCCACAAGCACGGTTCAGGGCTGCTTCTAGAGAAAATACATCCTTATCCTATGACACGTGTCTTTCCTAACATTTCCTAACGTCAGCACCATTGTTAAGTTCCTGTCTTCAGTTTCCTGGGTTACTCACCCCACTTCCCCCACGAGTCCCATGGTCTGGAGGGGACATTCTGCACAGGATTGTAAGCTGTCATCTGAAGGCTTAGCAAAGGGCCAGGTCAGTGGTGACATCAGGCTTCAAATAGGTTCATTCCATCTAGACACCCCTGCTGAGAACATGCATTTCTAACCCACAGACTTCTAGGTCTCCATGTAAGTCTTCTGTATTTATAACTTGGCAAGAGAGACAGGATCTAGCAGAATCACCTGTGGATCTTGTAGACTCTGTAGAAAGGTAGATTCTGATTCAGTCTATCTAAGGTGGGAAGATATTTCTCAGCAGGGGGTTGTGCTGGAATGAACCTGCTTGAAGCCCTGAGTAACAACAGCTCCACAGGCCAAGGGTGTGTGGGATCCCCAGACGGTGGGGTTCCAAGGCCTTGGGGGGCCCTGGCTTGAGACACCAAGGGGAGAATACTCTGTAGGTGCCTGAGTCAGGTCTGACTCCTCATAGCCCTGTGGACGACAGAAAGCCTGAGCCACATCAGCCTCACAACCTCTATGAGTTTCAGTTTCTGATTGCAAACATGCCATCTATCCATCTCATGAAGAATCTTCCTCTCTTTTGCTGATTCTCCTTTTACACATGACAACCTTCCCCACAGATTGGCCCCTCTGGCCACGCACCCAAAGTCATATGAAAGGAACACTTCTGAGGAGCACGCTGCATTTCTCACAAGGCCCATTTCCTTGTTCTTCTGGTGCTCCCTGGTGCGTTCAGTACTCTTCACCAACACCACCAGCAGCCATTGCTCACGTGAATCCTACAGCTGGTGTCACAGAAGCTGAGCTGGATTCCCTCTCTTTTAGGCAGGACGGTCATACTCTTCACTGAGAAATACCCTAAAGATACCCAGGAGGAAGGGCAAGGCGTATGCCAGGAGCTACCAGGCCATGAGGAGGTGGCATCCCTGAGGGAAAGGGGTTGGGAGAATGGCCAGCTCTCCTCTCAGATCCTGAGGTGGCCAGATCTGGAGGAAGGACTGCTCATTCCCTCCTCACTCTCCTGTGGGGTCCTGGCTTCCCACCTAACTGGACTTGGCCTTCTTGTATTCCCCACAGAGGAGGCTGAGTCACTGCTCACTTAACTTCGCCATCCAGCGGCACCCCTACTTCCGGAAGCTGTTTAATCTCTCCACCCCAGTGCTGCTGTGGGGGGGTCCCTTCGGCCGGGAGCTCTGGGGCAGCCTGAGCCAGCACAAAGCCCCTTATGGCTGGCAGGGCCTCTCCTTCCAAGGTAACATCACACACCTCTCCCTCACGCCCTTCCACCGTCATTAACCCACCTTCTCCTCTGGTCAGGACGAGCCAAGGGCCATGGTTCTGGGCTGTGTGGGACTCCCACCTCACCTCAGACTACAAGTGGGGGGCTTTCACAATTGATTCTCTCATGTCTGGGAAGCTAGAAGCCTGAATAAGGGGTGTCAGTTCTAGGAGACGGCTTTGTCTGTCCACTCCAGGTTTAGGAGGAGGGGCAGTGAGAGGACAGCGGAGCAGCTCTCCACCTCGGGACCTCCCTGGCACAAAACCTGCCAATGTCCAAAGGCCAAGGTCAGAGGCTGTGGAGCCTCGAACAGCTCTGTTCATTATGCTGCTGTGGAAACCACCCTGCCTCACCCCAGAGAACTATCCACAGGCAGTTTTCCCACCTCCACCCAGCACTCCTTCTTGTTCAATATGCCCCATCTCATTCCTCAAACTATTGCCTTATGGAATTTACACAATCTTTGGAGGACACACAAATTTTTTTTGGAGGGGAAGTCAATAGATTATAATTCAGATTAGTAGAAGACAGGACAGTGCCCACAATGTGGAGCCTCATGGCTTTAGATCAGTGTTACAAAGTTCTCAGTTCTGCTAATATTGGCTCACCACCTCCCTAGGACTTGTACTTTGTGTGGACACTGAGGACCCAGTCAAGACCCCCTCACCTTCCTCTTTTCAGTTGGAGTCGGCCCTTCCCACCACTGTGCTCTGAGGGGCAGCTACTCTGGCCTCGGGTGACATGGAGCACCAGAACCAGAGGGTCTATGGAAGGCCTAGCCTGACCCCTCCTTGTGTTACATCCACAGCCATCACCTCCACCCTGAAGCTTCTCAACAACTCAGATAGCGCGGAGCTGTTTGCTGCCTCCAAGGAGCCACTTCCAGACTGCATCCGGTGTGCTGTGGTGGGCAACGGAGGTATCCTGAACGGTTCCCGCCAGGGTCAGAACATTGATGCCCATGACTACGTGTTCAGGTATGAGGGCAGGGGCCAGGGAGAAGGGGGAGAAGTTAGGAGGTAAGCTAGCCCCTGGCTGGAATCTGGGGAGCCACAGGCCTGGGCAGCACTGACCTGCTGAGAACTAGCTCATCAGGTGTTTCAGTTCATTTAGTAATGCTAGAATGAGTGAGTCAGCATGTTGTGTTGAAGTTATGAATTGCAATGTAGATAAATTGCAATTAATGCTTGCTATGAATGAGCGAATAGCTATGTAGTGATGAATGTCTGAATGGTAATGTAGATAAATTGCAATTAATGCTTGCTATGAATGAGTCCATATATTGTGATGAATTTATTCATTGCTATGTAGATAAATTGTAATTAATGTTTGGTTTTTGTCAAACATTCTTCTAAGTGGTACAGCACTGGTCTGTGCATTGCTGTATAGAGGTAACTCATGGTTGCTGTGATGCTAAACACTGATACTGATGTGCCAAATGCAATAATGGTTACCCTTGGGGGACAGTGTTTGGTGGAGCTCCCCAATTAAAGCAAGCTTTGGAAGCAGGCATGGCATCCACTTCCGAAATGGCTTGCCTCCAGAAACTCTATGAACAATGCTCAGGTCTTTCATTCATAGGGTCACTATGAGTCGTCCACAACTCAACAGCACTTAACAACAACAACATAATACTACAAGTGAGTGCTTTAACACACATAAATCTACTGCCTCACTAAGAGTCCAAGTGTAGGGTGCCAGCTCCAGGGCAAGGCATTCTCTGTTTTGGCTATGAGGAAAGGTCCTTGTCTCCTTTCAGCATTGGTGGGCTGGGAGTCCTGTGGAGACCTCCGTGTGTCTTGGCACCAATCTTCCCCTGTGTCTAGGAGGTTCTCAGCACAGAGACCCCAGGGCTAAAGGACACACTCTGCTCCTAGTTCTTCTTTCATGGTGATAGCAGGTCTCTCCGATCTCTGCATTCATTTAATCACTTTTATGTCTCACCAGAGATAGACTCAAGATACAACTGACTCTTGTAGATTGCATCCTGCCTCCCTAACAGCACAGAGATGAAGATTTACAACATACAGGATAATTACATCCCATCCCAACATGGAAGAGAATTACCTGCTACTAAGAACAAGGCCTAGTCAAGTACATATATTTGTTGTTGTTATGTGTTGTGGAGTATGATTCCTAGCGACCCTGTGAACAACAGATCTGAATCCTGTCCTGTCCTGTGCCGTCCTCATCATTTCTGACACACGTGAGCCCATTGCTGCTATCACTGTGTCAATTTGTCTTGTTGAGGGTCTTCCTTTATTTTGTTGACCCTCCACCTTTCCAATCACGATGATCCTTTCCAAGGAATATTCATCCTATTCCTTGAACATATGTTTTAGGGTGTCATAATTCAATCCACAGCAGACAGATACGGACAAAAAAAATGCCAACAGTAGACCATAAATGTAGAATGTGGGTGCTGCAGGCCAAGGGGTTGAGAGTACTGAGCAGCCAGGGCCAGAATGACCCACCTCAGGGGTCTGTTTGGAGCTGGTGACCAGAGGCTGGTGCGGGCAGGGCAGTGCCAGTGGTCCACACACAGAGGTATGCAGACAAGCATGGGGGAGCTGTGAAGTTGGAAAACAGACAATGCAACAGAGCCTGTTTTCACCAGACTCAATGGTGCTGTGATCAAAGGCTTCGAGGAGGATGTGGGCACCAAGACTTCCTTCTACGGGTTCACTGTGAACACAATGAAGAACTCCCTCATCGCCTACAAGCACTTGGGCTTTACCTCTGTACCACAAAGACAGGTGAGGCCTCTGCGGAAGCCATCGCTCCTGGAAGCCCCTCTGTGGGGTGGGCTGTGCGGTCCCCAGAGCTGAAAGTGTTGAATTGTGTTAGGATGCTGGCTACTTATGATGGAGGCCCTGCAGGAAAGAGGACCTCCCTGCTTCAGGGAGGGCAGGATTCTCCGGGGGCGTGAGATGTGGGTGCACTGACACAGCCTGCATGCTGGGCATCGTACATGCAGCGTACTGGGCCCCTTTCATTGGTAACAAACTGGTGTCCAACTTCATTAAGCAAGGGGTCAGGCCACACACCGCAGAGCGCACACTCCTTGTGGAGATGAAGCTGTCCCAGGTCCCCTCAGAGGCAAGGCTATTTGTTGAGTGCCTGCTCCTTCCAGTGTCCTTCTGGAACGTGTGTGGGTATCACAGCAGCCCCAAGCTGAAGCTTCATATGTATGTAGGGGGCAGGTCACCAACCCGGAGCCAGTGACCGAGAGAGCTGAGGAGCTATAGGCCTTTTACGACTTCAGTCTGAGACTCTCAGGAGTTGCAGGGTGACAGCAAGGGTTCAAACCCAGACCCCTGTGACCTCAGAGCCAGGGCAGGACCTGCTTTCCCACCAGGTGTGACCTCTCAGGTTCTCACAACAACGCTGAGAAATCTTGTTTGGAAACAGAAGTTGAGCGAGGTTGCGGAGCTTGCCCGAGGTCAGGGTGGGGGAGCCAGGTTTGAGGCTCTCTGCTGGCTTCTGGGGAGCTCTGATGGCGTCGTCTGCAGGGAGACGTGCTGCTAGCCCAAAGGCAGCACCTTCTAGAAGCTCGAATCCACCAGAAACTCCTCCAGAGAGAGATGGTGTCTCCTCCCTCCTGTGCACCTGCTGGTGGGTCGGCTAAGACTCATTCTGACTTGTTGCCGATGAGGTTTTGATGGTTTGAGTGTCTGCTGGCCTCCACCTTCTTTCAGCAACACCCAGTTCACATCGTACCTCAAGTCCCCACCAGCGTGTCAGGTCAGAAGCCCAGGACTTCCGTGCCACTGAATGGGTCCCCATTAAGTACTCTAGAAGCTTCCTCCTCTGAGCAAGGGATTCAGGAGTGTCCCAGAAAGAGTGTTGGTCCACCAGGCCCTCACTATACAATCTCCCTTAGTTCCTGAGAGAACAGAACGGGTAGCTTTATTTCATACATGGCCACAGGACTTGTATGAGTTCTGTCAACTGCTGACCAATGTCCCCAGTACCTCAGGCCTTCAAACACGCTTCTATTATCTCAGCGCTCCTGTGGGTCCGGGATCGATCAGGGGCAGCACAGGGGAGTGGTTTGGGCTCAGGGTCCCTCAGGTGGTTGCAGTCAGGACCGGCAGGGGGCTGCCCCCATCCAAGGGCACCTTGACTGGGACTGGTGTCAAGGTGTTGGCCTCTCAAAAGGACACAGGAGTCCTCACCACAGGGCAGGTAACTTCACCAGAGCAAGTTATAAGAGTATGTAAGGAAGCCGCGGTGCTCTGACCACCCATGGCCCTGGCTCCGGTCACATGTTCCCTTTTCACTTCCTTTGGGTAACTAGAAACCAGCCACTATTTTGGTCCACACACAAGGGGTTGACCACAGGGTTTCACCCCTTGCAGGAAGGAGTATCAACGGACTGTGAAGGTGTTTCAGAACTAGTGTAGTACTTCAGAGGGGACTTTGGTGAGCCAGTGCTTAAGGGATGGCGCTGCCAACTCAAAGACGTGCGGTTCTGATCCTCAGACACAGTACGGGAGAAAGATGAGCAGTCTTGTCCTGTGCATTTTACGGCCTCTGAAAACCCACCGAAGGGTCAGCTATGAGTGGATTCGACTTGACAGCACACACCCACCACTTCAGTATTTGAGGGTGGGAATTAGCCGAGGGACATTTCCCAGTCAGCCAGGGAGCTGGGGAGGAGGCAGCGGCGTCACCACTTGGCTAAGTGTGTCTCTTGCCCTGCCAGGACCTGCGTTATATCTTCATCCCCTCAGACATCCGTGACTACTTGATGCTGAGATCCGCCCTTCTGGGCGTGCCCGTCCCTGAAGGCGAAGATCAAGGGGACAGGTGAGCAGCCAGGCAGGGCATGGGGTGCTGGGGTGCTGTGGGCAGGGCTGGGTAAGACTGTGGTCACTCCACTCTCCTGAAGCCAAAGACGTCCCAGGTACCCCTCCTGATGCGACAGTGTAGTGACTGACTACACAGGCCTGGCCCCTCTGTTCAGGCCACTGTGTCTGTGACTAGCCTGGGTCCACAGCTGCCATGGACAGCGGCATGCCATTTACAGGGCCACTCCACAGGTGGTCTGAGCAGTTTCTGAAATCTGAGATGAGGGACCAGTGTCCATGCCACTGGTCCTGATGGCCTCCTCCCCAGAGCTGTGCTTGGAAATGGGAAGGGCTGGGTAGGCAGGAGCAGCAGGGGTAGGCTTGGACCTGCACGTGGGAACAGAGGACAAGTGGTCCCTTCCCACTTTTCCAACCAGCAGGGCGCCCCCAGCCCTTTGGACCCCCTCTCCTGTCCTGAGGTCTGGTCCCAGACATCTGGTCACCTCCTTCCCTCCACACAGAGCAGCATCAAAGGGTTCTTAGGAGATTGGCCTCACAGCCCAGCCCCACCCAGTCCTGGACATTACCCAACAATAGCTTACTGTGACCTGGGGGCTTTGTGACATGCGTGGGCTTGGCTCTTAGGGGGAGCTCCCGCAGGGTCATCAAGTGGACAAGAAGTCCCTCTAACACCAATGAGCTCCCCCTCCCACACCCCTAATCCATCCCCCACCCAATCCCCGTCCCAGTCCCGTTCCAATAATAACGTCCCCAGCCCTAGCCAGCAACACTCCAGCTCTGCCGCCCTAGTCCAATCCCCGTCCCCCACCGGAGGGGGCTCTGCCACCCGCCAGCCCTCTCACCCACCCACGCCCCCCTCCTCCCAATCCTCTTCCCGTACTTCCTCCCTGACTCCCAGCCCCCACATCCAGCATGTGTCCCGGGGCTCTTCCCAGGCCACGCCGCCCCCTTCCAAGTCTCCCTCCCAATTGGGTTTAAAACCCATCTCTCGGAACCCCTCCCAGGTCCCCTCTGTGCCCCTCGTCAAGTCGCCCTCCCCCAGCCCCACTGGCTCAGGCTCCTTCATTGGGCCCATGAGACGCATCCCCTCATTCATCGCCCCTTATGTGCCTCGATTCCTGAAGGAGCCCCCCTTTTTCCAGCCTCCCACTTCACCCTTGCCCCAAAACCACTGCTTCCCCTGCCCCTTCCCCTGCCCGCCCCCCTCTCCACCCCCTCCCCCAGACTCCCTCTACTTCCCTCTGCTGCCGCCCCCTCCTCACTACCCCAGCAGCAGCTGCTCCTTCCCCACGCCCCCCTCCCTCTTCCTACCCCCGTCCTCCCTGTCCTACACGCCACCCATGGAGGTCCTGGTGAGCGGGAAGCCACACGTGGTGCCCACCGTGCTGCCAGCCACCTTCTACACCCCCTTCTCCCGCTACTACACCCAGCCCCGGCCCCGCCGCGTGGCCCGCAGGCTGCCCTCACTGTCTTTGACCCCGCTGTCCTCTGGAACAATGCACGACATGAGTCCTGGCCGCTCTGTCCACTTCTTTCGTGGGTCCTAGGCCTCAGACCTATTTTGGACCAAAAGCCTCTGCCGGTAAATTCAAGATCCTTCATCCAGTATTCATCCGCTACCTGAGAGAAAGGTATGGGGCAGAGGGAGGGGGTGGAGGGACCGCCCAGACACATCAGATACCTGGATGGGGGGGGGGGAGTCAGGTCCGCCCAGACCCATCAGCTACCTGGATGGGGGGGGGGCTCAGATCTGCCCAGACCCATCAGCTGCATGGATGGGGGAGGGTCAGGTCCAGTGCCCCACCCCAACTCTATACTTGACGAAGGGACAGGGTGAGGGGGACAGAAGCACTGGAGCTGCAGCATCATTCAAGTGCCCCCCTCTGCTCTTGGCCACAGGCTCGGCCTTGATGGAGCTGGGGTGCTGTCCGGTCAGGAGGGGCTGGGCAGAGAGCTGGACTCAGGCTAGCTGGTGGGAACCCAAGGTGCAGGACAATCTGCTGGCTGGAGGGCGTGTCATCCATTTAGGCCCAAATGGCACAGCGGTTAAGCACTCCAGCACCCACTGTCTGGGGATAAAACACAGCTGTCTGTGCTCCTGTGAAAATGGTTGTTGCTAAGCATTGTCGAGTTGAAACTGACCCATAGCTGACCCCTCATCGGTTTTCTGAAGCAATAAATCAAGACAGAAAGAGACTGCTCACCCTTTTCCTGCGGAGCAGCTGGTGGATTCGAACCACAGGCTTTTGGGTTGGCAGCCCAACTCCTTATACAAAGCCACCAGAGCGCCCTCCCATGAGAACTACAGGCTGGGAAGCCCCATGGGGCATCTCTGTTCTGTCACATGGCATTGCTAGGAGCCGAAAATCAGCACCTAACAGCAAATTAACGCCAACAGCCAGCCAGGGAGCCCTACGAGGAGGAGCCTGGGGCCACCAGCCAGAGCTGGCCTCGCTTCCCCTCTCCCCTCCCTCCACGAGGGCTTCATGCCAGTCCTGCTAAAAGCCAGTAAGGAGTCATTCACAGACGGCTAACGTAGACCACTGACCTCAACTGGCAGGCAGGAGACTTTTGCCTCAGTGGTCGTTAGCTGAATCTGGAGATGTCTGTAGCGGTCCCTGGGTGGTGCAAATGGTTAGTGAAGGGTTAACTGAACCTACTCAGAAACTATGTAGAAAAAGGGGCCAGCAATCTACTTCTTTAGCTTACAGCCAAGAAAACGCCATGGGTCAGTGCCCCACACACAGGGTCGGCAGGAGTCAGAGCTGACCCGAGGACAAGGGGCCTGGGTTTTGGTTTGGAGACCTCTTTGGCTGTTACCAGGAGGTACAGGACCACTAGAGACTGAGGCCAGAGATGCTGTGGAAATGCAGAGCCCAGCCACACCGGAGAACAATCAGGCCCCGAATGTCAGAGAGGCCAAAGCTGAGAATCCCACCATAGACCATGCAGACTGGCCCTTCAGATAAAGCAGCTGGGGGAGGAGGAGGCAGGCCACACCCCACTTCAAAGAGCACATGGGCTCAGGCCAAGGGAGAGGTCAGAGCCCATTACACCCGACTGCAGCCTCATTTGTGTGCGCCCCCAGACCAGTGACTCCAGGTCCAGCCCTAGGCTCCCATCCTTCCCACACGTGACTCCTGTCTGGCCAAGGCTGGGCGTGAAGACACCGAGCTCTCAGACTGTTTGGAGACCAGCCTGGGCATTCTGGCCACTCTGTGGCCTGGGGTGGATGCAGGGTGCTTCAGAGGAGGGCTGCCAGGGAGCTGGGCCCAGAATGAGGCTCGCTGTAGGAGCTGGAAGTGAGAGCCAGAGGGCAGGCCTTCTCTGGGGCCGCCGTGGGCTGTCCCTTCCCTCTTTCTCACCCCATGTCCTTATTATGGACTTTTATTTCCACCAAAGTTCAGTTTACCTGGTCCCCCTCACAATAAGGTCAAAAGAGCCAGATTAGGGGGTCCCCCAGCCCTTGAACTGGTAGAGTCAGCTGGGCATGACCCCCAGGATAGTGAGGGACAGACATCCTTCCGCTGCTTCAAGGCCCTCTCTGTGCTTCCAGGTTTCTGAAATCAAAATTGATTAACACAAATTTTCGAGACCTGTATATGCCCAGCACTGGGGCTCTCATGCTACTGACAGCTTTGCATACCTGTGATCAGGTAAGTCCTCAGGAAAAAAGCCTGCAGCTAGAGGACCCGAGGCAGGGGCAGTTCTAACTCTGCACCCCAGGTCGTCTTAGCGACAGCTCCCAGCCCAGCCCACCCTCCTCCCCAACCTCTGCTCCACGTGCTGGCCGACAGGACACCCTTCTGAGAGCCTGCTCTTCACAGAGAGCTGAGTGGCCTTTACGGGGTCATCCTAGAACGGTGCTGGGTCTGGTCTTCCTTCCACCGGCGTGTGTACCACCTCCAAAGTTAGTGTGAGCGTTACAACAGTGAGACCTATCCTGAGGGGGCAGAGAGGAAGCCGAGAAGCCGATTAGAGGAAAGGGTTACAGCACAGCTAGGAGCTGGAGGGCAAGCACTGTTCCCGACCCCGCTTGGCAGAGTCCAGCACGTGGGGACCCTCTCAGTGAGAACAGGCTGTCCCAGGTTCCTGCTGTCATCTTTCAACTACAAGGGGTGTGAGCCCTTAGGTCTGAAACAGTTCTGGTGCTTGCCAGTGACGTGACTTGGGGACACTCTGGTAAGCTGAGCCCTCTTTGTAAAACGGGGGAAATCTCCCAAAGGCTGAGTGAGGAAATGGGTGAGCCGTTTATCTGCACCTGCATGTTAGCTGTCTCCCTCGAGTCTGGGCAGGTACACCAATAAATGCTAACCCGTACCTGTCCCTGCACAGGTTAGTGCCTACGGATTCATCACAAGGAACTTCCAGAATTTTTCTGAACACTATTTCGACAGGACAAAGCAGCCACTGAAATTCTACGCAAATCACGACCTGCTTCTAGAAGCCGTGCTCTGGCGGAACCTGCACGACGCTGGCATCATCCGGCTGTACCAGCGCTGACCAGCATGCAGGCCTGCTCCCCTGCTGCCCGACTCCGGCCTTTTCAGTATATGGGTGGGACCCCAGCTCCCCACAAGCCTCACATTCTCAACAGGGGACACAGAGGATGGGCCCACCACGACCTTCACCAAAGCCTGTTTCGCAGACATCAGTCTCGTCCATGGTTCACCCAAGAGAACTTTTGCTCCAGGTCTGAGATGGACAAAACGACCTTGGCCTCAAAACCAAACTGCTCCACACAGAACAGCCCCCCTGAGAGCAGAGAACGTGATTCTCACCAAAGGAGCAGGCGCACTCAGCGCTGAGCCCTTCAAGGTGGTGGTCAGCAGGCCAACTTGGGGTTCATTGACAGGACCAGGCCAGCAGTACAGCCAAGTGCACACATCCGGTAAAAGCCTCCCACCAGCTATGTCACCATTTCAACTCCCATACGGATCTTCACCATTGAGTCTTCAGAGACCAAGAACAGTCACCCTCACTTCTTATCAATGGGGCGGGAGTATCCTCCCCATGAGCTCATAGAGAACACAGAATTTGTCAGATTGTCACCAGAGTCTAGATCACTACGTAAAAGCTCAGATTGTCACCAGAGTCTAGATCACTACGTAAAAGCTGACATGATCATTTTGTCTTTGTGCTAACTTGTGGCTCACTCTAATTCAAGAACCAGGAGGGTTCTGGGTACGTGCCAAGGGTCGTGGAGGGAGGAATCCCATAAAAGGGGCATCATCTCCGTGTCAGGCGGCTCTCGGGTGGTGTAGCATCTGTTGGGAGTTGCTACCAACTCAAAGTCTGCACCTCTGGTGGTTCAAACCTACCAGTAGTTCCTTGGAAGGATGGGCAATGTTCTCCAGGTATTTGGTCATGGAAGCCCAATGGAAGGCCAGCCAGGGGTCAGTCTTGAGTAGATCACCTGTCACCAAGACTTACTAGGCGCTGAACACATGATATTAAGTCACAGCATCAGTAAGCATGAACTTTGTACATAAGGAAGTTCACTACTTTGAGACAGATTTCTTATTGTTATTACAGAATTATCATTTGAAGTGATTTCAGCATCTCCTATGCCCTGGAGCGAGGGAGCTCTGGTGGTAAGGAGTTGCACTGTCAACCCAAAGGTGGCATCCACCAGCAGAAAGATGAGCATCACTCCCGGTGGACAGACAGCCGGCTTAAGGGCCACCTGAGTTGGTCTGACTCCAGCGCACACGGCATGCCTGTGGGGCCAAGTCTTGAGGGACTGGCTGTATCTTAAAAGGTATCTCACAGTCTCCAGCAGGCTGGCAAGCGGGAGACAGATACCTCCCAGGATCTCCTCCCAAAAGGCTGGTTTTATGAACCCAGTCAGTAAAAAACACAGCTACTTTAGAAATTCAGAGACATGGTAAAAAGCTACTTGGGAAACTGCCTCTAAGTCAGATTAGAGGAAGTGATGTCTTCCATCCTGGGCTCTTGAAGTTAGTATTCTGAGCTGCTGAGAATGGTTAGAGGTTCAAGTCCATCCTGGTACCTTAGAGAAAGGCACGCTGTCTACTTCTGCAAAGTTCTGTAACATAGTCACTGTAAGCGGGTCAATAGACAGGTGGGGCTTTAGGGTTCCTGGCACCAAGCTCCCCATCTGGTTTCCTGGCAACGCTCACCTGTCCGTTTGGTCACAAGGCTCACAGCACCCCCACGCTCTTCTGGATAGAATGTTTACTTTAGGAACGCAGTTCCTTCTGAGAGTCAGTTTGCTGTGTGTATAACCCAATATGTGTCCAAACCCACACTCTGACCCGTTATCTACAATACTCTGCCTTTGTCCACACCCAATCAAATCCAAGTAGAGATGGGCATCTGAGGCACTGGTGGCTGGGTGGTGGTGAAGTGTCACCGTGCACAGGCCCAGGTTTAATGCCAGGTCAGGCACTTCACTGGTGTGAAGCTCACAGTTCAGTGGAGCTGCCAGAGGAGACTAGGAAGATGACCACGGTTCACGTCCTACACACAGCCCAGGAACACTCGGTGGGCCCAGCTTCACACTGTGCTATCAGCACCCCTGTGAGGCTGGCACGGGAGCCGGAGGGGGTGCACACTCAGCAGAAAGAAACAGTCAAGTTCATCCCAGAGAAGTGAACTTGAGGATTCTGCAAACTTCCACCCAGAGGAGGAGTACAGGCACCGAGCCAGACAGAGCATCCCCCAGGGCCTCCGTCTGCACGAAAACCATTACACTGAGTCACGTTTAAAAAGTACTTTATTTATGTGGCAACATTTACACCCAAGATACACCCACAGCTTCACGGGAAATTCACCCCACAAATGGCTTTCTAGGCTGAGGTCCCTTCCGCTGATCATCAGACTGGACACACGGCCCCTGGTAACCTCTGACCCTACACCTGCCAGTGCCGGCTTCACTACCTCCAGAAGGTCCTGGGCGCTAACTGGCTACGTCGGAACAAGAAGCACCGAGAAACCTCAAGGACTGAGTGTCCCCTTTTCTGCCTTGAGGTATGGCAGCCACAGGTATGAGGGACAGGAGTGCAGGTCCAGGCCTGAGGTCACTGTCAAAGGCGCATTTGGTCCAAAATGAGGCCACAACCCGTCAAATCAAAGGAGGGATACCCAAATTTCATGGTCAACTACATGACTCGAGATGGCAAGTGGACTCATTCAGGGGACAGGTCATCAGTCCAGATGCACCCACTCTACCTCCTGTAACAGGTGTCTGGTGTGGCGGGGAAGGCCGGCCCAGCCACCCTCAGTGGAGATGGTCAGGTGCTTGGGGTCCAGCCTCAAAGCGGCGTGGGCTCTGCACACAGTCGTCTACTCAGAAGCAGAGCAGCAGAAGCCCCACCACCCTCAGCCACCTACTGCCATGGGGCCCTTTCACTGCCTGAGCCAGTGTCACGTCCACGGAAGCTCCAGACAGAGCTCACCTGGACCCAGTAAAACCCTGCAGCCTCAGAAAGAACTGGTCCATCCTTGTCTGAGCAGAGAAGACGGCAGGAAAGTGGAAAGCAAGGGAGCCAACTCTCCTGCTCCCAGCAGCCGTGCCACCCAGCGGGTTCCCGGTACACTAACCTGTAACCCAGCACCTGGAAGCCTACTCGCTCTGCATCCGCGAGCCTGCAGTCAGGACGCAGGACCCAGGGTCACAGGCACCCCAGGGTCACAGGCACCCCAGTGCCCCAGCACGCCCGTGCTTCACGCTTTTGCTATTCTGAGCTGATGCATTTTCCTAACACGCGACAAACACACTTTCCCTCCACTGAAGTACACTTGCCCACGCCTGCCAGCTCGGGGTTCCCTGGCCACGAATCCCCACAAGCTGTGCCCCAGGGTTACTACCAAGGCTACAAGGGCCACCACCTTGCTGTTTTTAAAATTTCCAATGATGATGCCCTAAGTGGTTAACAGCTGCTGGAGTCCATTCAATCTGACCCCTCGGATGTATTATTCTCCCTCAGTTAAGACTTTCAGAGCAGGGCGGACTGCATGTTTCTTAGGGACTCGTGTAAGAGGACAGGGGCTATGGGTTCCCTAGAGACGTGTTTGTGTGTGTGTACCGTCAAATCATATCTGACTGGTACAAGAGGAGACTGTCCCTCCGTCTCCCTGGAGACAGATGTAAATACAACCGTTAGTCAGAGGCACCCTCTCCCCTGCCCTGGGCAAAGCTGTTGACACTCCTGTCTGGTAGACTGTAAACACCTGGCAAAGAAAAGAAACCCAAGTTAAGACTCTCTGCCACAGCATCGCCCCAAGTCCAGGGCGACGACAGAGAGGACCCTCCGCCCAAGCCCACCTGGACCGCGTCCTGTGCTTACGTACATGGACAAGGCTGGGTTCAGCTCCTGGCCAGGGCAACCGACGCAGCACTCTAGCTAGTGGTTTCTCCTCTGAAGGACACTGTTCAGCCTCAGAAACTAAGGCCCAGACCGCACCTGCTGAAGAGCAAGAAAAAGAAAAACCCACTCAAGAGACACTCTTCAAGGTCAGGTCTAAACTCCCCAACTTGTGGAACTGAGCGTCAGACAGAGAAGCTCCACACGAAGGCCTTCTCGCCTTCAGACAGGGATAACTTTGCATCATCACGGACTCAGCTCCCGCCAGCCCACAGCATCAGCACCAGGTACACGCTGAGCCCGGCGGAGAAGACACCTCAGATCCCAACACAGTCCAAAGACCCTTTCACAACACAAGCTGGTCTAAAAGAAGACAGTTAGGAGCAGGGGCGACTACATGGTGTGTGCCACAGGCAAACAGCCACGGTGTGTACTCATCTGGAGACAAAGAAAAACCACGAGGCAGAAACGGCACTGCTGCAGGTGGGACAGTGGACAAAGGACCAGAAGTGGACAAAGGACCAAAAGCGCAACATGCTGCTTCTGAAGCGGCCTCCAAATCGCTAAGGGCACACCCAGCGCTGGCCCCTCCCCTGGGCTCACACAGAAGCGGCAATCTCACGTTCAGTGGCACTCGTTCTGTGGGCAAAGCCTCAGCCTGATTTCCGGTCAGGCAAAACTCAAATGGCATCTGAACTCACACCTGCAACTGGAGTCACGCTTTGCTACAGGCACCAGCTGTCCACAAAGCAAGAGTTTCAGAATGTGACCTCAGATAGAATGCACATCAATTTTTAACCTAGTTTTATTTCACTTCTCTTGGGGAAACTCAGCCCACCAACGAGAAAAGTTCTGGAAACCGTGTGAAGGGCATGTTCTGGGAAGTTAGTTGGTAAAATGCTCAACAGTCAAGCTCAATGGTCACATCTTGCGAGCTTGCTGAGGACCGTCCACACATCAAGTCCTGTTCTGAGGCGGTGTCATCTCACAAGGTCACTTCACTCAAGTGAACAAAAATCCTCTGCAGAGCAGAGCGCCTGTGTGGCTTCCAGGTGTCTAAGACAGAGGATTACGGATCTGCGGTGAGGGGGACTTAAAAATAGCCAGCATTGTAATCTCTCTGTAATAAAATCCTAGGGCTAAAAACAGACCAGGTCATTGCATTATTCCTAC